TGTTCTAGTGCTAGGAACGCAAAAGACTCAGAAGAAGTTGTCTGAATTCCCTTTCCTTTAAATATTTTCCGAATGGCTTGTGTGACAAAAGATCTCAAACGGTTGAAAGTTAAAACATTTGTAATGTGTATGCCTTCTTATAATAGCATTTCCTTCAGTACCTAGTCCTCCACTTTGAAAGAGTGAGGCTTGGCCCCATAGTCATAATAGTCGACCGGTAAGTTCACCCTTGGTTGTCTTAATACGAACTTTTATCCCTCTTGTTGTAATGGGCTTGCTGAGAGTAAAAATTCTTCCTCTTACCAAGAGACAGATACGTTTGGTAACTTAGCGAGTAGCTAAATGAGGCAGGAGATGATGCAATGGGTGTTTAAATGGCCAAGATCTCCTTACTTGGTAGAACTTGACTTCCACTTCCCACTTGTTGATAGGGGTTAACCATATGGGGGTTCCCTTGGTATGTCCTTCGGCGGAGGCGTGGTTGTAAGCCTGTGTCATCACCTCAGAGTAAGTCTGCCAAGTGTTGGCATTAATCATGTACTTGAAGAAACAATCATGTAGGCCTACCGTGAAGGCCTTGAGGGCGGTCTTGTCATCTACCTCAGCGCAGCGAGAATACTCATGGCTGAAGCGACCGGCATACTCTCGTAGTGACTCGTCCGGCTTCTGGCGAATAGTGTACAAGTCATCTATAGAATGCAAGCGATCGGTCTGGAAGATGTGTTGAGAAACAAACATTTTCCTCAGTTCCTCAAATGAGTCTACTATCTCAGGTGGAAGACGGCAATACTAGTTTAGAGCTCCGCCAGAGAGGGTGGAGGGGAAGAGAAGACATCGCTCGTCGTTGGTGTGCATCTGATATGCCATGGTGGACTTAAAGAGGTTAAGGTGTTCAATTAGGTCATCCCTTCCAGTATATAGTTGTAAACCAAGCTTTTGTTTTGTCTTCGCTTGAAGGAGGGTGTCAATGATCCTCTTTATGAGAGGGCCAGGCCTGGGTTGGTTCTAGTCAGGTATCTCAGCTTGACGTTCGACCTTCAACTTGTTTACTTTTTCAAGGAGCTGTAGGACAAGGGGGTTCTAAGTAGAGCTATGTACCGCTGGAATTTTCTTTCGTAAGTCTCCATCGCCTCTTGGATGTAGGAAAGTTGAGCAAGGGCGTGTGGTTTTTTCTTGGACTCGCCGTATTGACTTCTAGGGCAAGTCTGTCGGAATACCTCAGAGTCCTATGTACCTTTATGTTCCTCTAGGACCTGTTATTCCTTCCCTAGTTTGGCAGCGGGCCTGGGTCATTGATCTTCGACATATGTGGAGGGGATTCTCTCGACGTTGCTTTAGGAAGTCTCGGCAGTCACTATAAACAGCTTTCTATCCTTCGAACCCTTCTGCAAAGAGGTGTCTTCCTCCACTTCTCCTGTTTTGGGTCAAAACATCTGGGTTGAGAGAAGTCTCATGTTGATCAATGTTTTGATGATTAGCTCGCTCCTCATCAGGGATACCCATGTCAAAGAGAGGTGACCTTCCGTGTTGGGAGTACCCAGATGATGGTTGATGTCCACAGGGGCAATGAGCTTGCGTGTTTGAGTACACCTAGTTTCGTGAAGTGTCTCGAAGAGCTTCTCATACTGCTTCTGGAGGACCTCATTCTTCATTGCTATCTTGTTGTTCTGAGCTTCTAGCTCATCGACTTTAGCTTGAAGAGCAACCTTTTTTCCTTCATTCTTTCGTTGCTTCGCACTAGGTGCAAGAAGGGGTGTCATTCTGTGTGTTGTGGCTTCCTTCGCTCCCCATGTTGGAGAGGGATGCCTGGTCAAAAGAGAGTGTACGAATGGTGGAAACCAGCTTGGCAAAGCTAAAGAGAGTGGGAATAAGTGTCGTTCCCACAGACGACGCCAAATGTTGATGCACAAAATTGGTGAGGACTTTGGTACAACAAAAAGTGTTAAGTTTATGACCTTCGCTAAATTGCTCCGGTCACTAATGTGGACATGTATGTAAATGGATAGGGACAGGAAAGCAAACAAAAGATGTACGTGGTTCACCCAGATTGGCTACGTTCACGGAGTAGAGGAGTTCTCATTAATTGTGAAAGGTTTACATAAGTACATAGGTTCAAGCTCTCATTTAGTGAGTACTAGTGAATGATTTAGTACAAATGACATTAGGAAATATTGTGAGAGAATGATCTCTATTTATAGAAGAGAGTTTTTAGTTTCATTCTGATATTGACATGTGTCGTGTTGTGATTGGCTTCTGATGTTGACACGTGTCGTGCTATGATTGGCTTCTGATGTTGACATGTGTCGCGCTGTGATTGGCTTTCTGGTTGGAGGGAAACTCTTCTGGGTCCTTGACGGTATAACGTTGACCGGTACTCAGTAGTTTCGGGATTGGTCAAGTATGGTACAAACAAGGTTAAATTTCTTACCTTGTGGTATGTATCTGTCGGAGGTGAGGTTTGTGAAAGACAAGGAGAAGTTGAGAGAAAGACTCAAGCGAAAGAGAGTCGGTGTGTGATGTGGTGTGGTGTGTGTGGGGGTGGCGGAGTCGAAACTGGAGAGTAAGAAAGGAGTCGAGATTGAGATATAGGTGGACAGAGTCAAGAGAGAGAGAGAGAGAGAAAGAGAGAGAATCAGAGAAGAAGTTGAAGTCGAAGAATACAAAAGAGGAGAATGGCTGAATGAGCCAATTGTTGAACATAATTCTACGACTATAATTAATAGGCCAAATCGGATGAATCATCTATGTGGTCATAAGGTATTCGGAAGATAGTCTATGTGCTAAAAAAACTCGGATTTAAGCCCCTGTGGTGTATTCCGTTAGCAAATTTAGTCTCAAAGTGATTTTTCCGTTAACTATCTGTTAATACATGGGTAAAATTGTATTTGACATGTGCACTCTTCCTCATCTCTCTGCTCTCTCTGTAATTTGAATTTTCACAAAATTAGTTATGAGAAAGCCGTAATTGAGATTAGTAGGAAGCTTCACGACTGGCCTCTCGTTGCTTTCTACAAACAGCAAGACTGGAAAGGCTTGAAAGACTGGCCTCTTGCAGGACATGCTTAATGTTCCAGTCCTCTATATCATTGGAGCTTTTTCATGGTAGCCTTTAATGTGTGGTCTGCTTGGAATTCCTCCATCAAATGGAGTCATCCCAGAGTCTCCAGTGCATACAAAGAGTTTAGCTACTCTTAAACTCCGGGTAATCACACAAAACCTTTTCTTTATCTAACTTTTTTTTTCTTCGATTGTACCCTTTTGATCATAATGATGTTTACTTGTGCAGTTGCTTCGTAATCGACTTGTAGCAACAACACGCACAAGTATGAGAAATAATTCTAGCTTGGGACAACTGTATGGAAATATGAAAGATGCCTATCGACAAATGCTCTGCCTTTGGTTTACCAGGAGGCCTCATTTCGAGTATGACAAGAATATATATTTTGACTTTCAAGTTTTTTGATATATTTAACCTGTGGCTTTGATTTGCAATGGCAAGAAGGACCGTAGTTTAGAACATTTGATGATATTAATTACCAGGTGATCATCGTGCTTTAATTGAAACACTTTTGTATTGCAGGGACTGAATGAATTAAAAGAATCAACCATCCAGGCAGCTTCAAGTATGGGAAATTATATGGATGCACCAGTTGACGAGACAATATTTGATATTGAGAAAGAGATTGATGATTTATTGCTGGTTGAGGTGAAGGAGCTGCGTCTCAGTAACCTGCTTCAAGCGGTATTGGTGGGGGATGTGTTACAGAGAGAGCAGAGAGATGAGGAAGAGTGCATATGTCAAAGTACAATTTTACGCATGTATTAACAGATAGTTAACGAAAAAATTACTTTTGAACTACATTTGTCAATGGAGTACACCACATGGGTTTAAATCCGAGTTTCTTTTAGCACAAGGCTATCTTCCAAGTATCGTATGAACATAGAGATCATTTATCCAATTTGGTCTAATTAATATATAATAAAATTCGGTTCGGTTTGTTTTTACCAAACAAACATATTTATCATACTGATACCCGTACTTAGGGGTGGGTTCGGTACGGTTACCGTACCAAAACCCTCGTACCAATTACCGTACCAAACTTTCGGTTTGATAAAATCTATTACCATTACCATACCAAACTTTCGGTATACCGAAGTTCGGTATTGCCAAATGTTCGGTTGGCATTGTATGGCAATGGTAATTGCCACTTTGTTTTGGGACAAAATTTGTTTTTGCTTTTTTAACCCAATTCAAGGACAAAACTTTTTTATTGTACCTTTATCTCATACATTGTAGCCTAAATTCATCTATTATTCATCATTTACAATTCACACACATAATAATTCAAATGGTGCATCAAGATTCATGATGAAAATTAAGTTTACAATCCAAATAGAAGTTACGAACCAAAACAAATAGAAGTTTCCCCCATGCTAAAGATCTTCTCTATCCTCCATTGGTTCAAACACACCTCTAGAACTTTCCCAATGTCTTCTCCCTTATGACCCATGATCTTTATGAAGTTTATGATCCGTTTGTGCAACTTTCATTCACTATCCATGAAGTGAGCGGTAACTACCATGTAGTTAATGTTTTGTACCGATGTCCAAGTATTGGTTGTGATACTTACCTTTTGATTATGCATTGCTTCAAATAACTTAGACTTCTCCAACACATATAAATCCCACACATTGGCCGCAATCTTCTTCCTATTTGGAATCTTGAACCGAGGTTGAGCCTCTTTCATCATATCAAATTATTAAAATATTATAAATATGTGTTATATAATTATATATTATATAATTTATAAATTATATATTATATTATATGTTCGGTACGGTAAGGTAATACCGTGGTAATGATATTCATTACCAATAACGTACCAAGAAATTTCGGTACGGTACAATACCGTACCATTACCGATTGGCACAAAATCGGTATGGCACGGTTGGTAATTCGGTTGGCACAGTAATTTGGCAAAAAAATTCACCCCTACCCGTACTGAAGTTTTCGATTTCGGTTCGGTTTTTTCGTTATTTTATTCCACCCCAACTTCCGAAGGTGCGCACTTTGATTTCCGTTCGCACCGGGCTCGCATTGTCGTAGCCTGCATACGTCATCACCAACAGTACCTTCCTACGCCTTCTCCCTAAACCCCGCGAGAGGGGACACCAGCCTTCCGAAAACGAACAACCAAACTCTTCCTCTTCCTCTCCTCCGCCATTCGTATTTCTTAATTAATTCCTTGCCTTCAATCAACAAAAACTAGCATTTACCTGAATTTCTAATGGCTCCGGCCACCTCCTCCTCGCCTGCGGCTGCGGCTCCAGCTCAGCGGCTTATCCGCTTCAACCGGAGGACATCGGCTCCTCGCCAGCCTTCGCCGCCCGGGTCGCCGCCGCCGCAGAAGATGAAGCCTATGGCGGAGATAATGGCGAAGGCTAAATTCACGGTGGTGGAGAGAGGCGATTACAGCGACGTTACCTGCGAGCATTGTAGGTCGGGTGACCGATCCGACGAGCTGCTTCTCTGCGACAAATGCGATAGAGGCTTCCACATGAAATGCCTCCGGCCTATCGTCGCCATTGTCCCCATTGGATCATGGCTCTGCCCTTCCTGCTCCGGACACAGACGAGTAAGAAGTAGGGGATTTTTTATTTTTATTTATTTATCCTTTGGAGTTACAATTACATTCATGTTTTTATTTATAAATTTTCATTTTATTTTGTTTTGTTTGGTTTTTGGTTCAGGTTTCTCGCAGAAAAAAATTATTGATTTTTTCCGGATTCAGAAACCTAGTGATCATGATCCCAAAGACAAATGTGCGTCTCCTCAAGGTAAATTCCGGTACATATGGTCTTCAACTGTGCTTATAGTTTTCGTCATTGCAATTCCCATGGGTTTTCGTATCATTTCTTCTCGTGGTTGGTATACATTTCATGATCATTATATTGATTCTAACAAAGGAAGACATTGGGTTTATAATGTTCTTATGCTAGGGAGTTCAAATTTAGAATGTGAGGACACGATGAAGATCGTAAACAAGATTGAGTTATAGAGTTGACAAACTAGAAAAGCTTGTTATACCAGTGATACTCGTGACAACGGCAGTTAACTATTCTGTTACATTGATTCTAACAAAAACGTCATAACATTTCTCAATGATATATTTATGGTATGTGTACTTTGATGGAATGGGTATTGAAATTATCCTAAATCTTGGCATACATACGTTTACTAGAGCATGGGTATTTAAATTATTCTAATTACTGACTTTCACTACGTTTGCCTTACTAACACATATGGAACTAAAAAGAAAGTGTGGATTCCACATTGAATTCCTTAATCGAATGCCTGGCAAAGTAGGAATCGTATCAATTAAGGCGTTAGTTGATCCCATGCCAATTCCTTCTTTCTCTTCCCCATTCACGACTTCTCCCATTTCAAATAAGTAAACATGCCATCAGTGTTTTGGTAACACATAATATCCATTCATTATCACTTCTTAACAAGTCCGATAAAAGTCATTATTGTCCAAATGTAGATTCTTTAATGTTAGTTCATTATTAACTAAGCAATAAATCCATGTTCCGGTGGTATCTCGACTGTCAGGTTCATATAAAACTACTAACAATGCATGAACTTAATAGTATTAGTTTGGAGTTAAGACTTTTAGGATGCATAATATTGGCTGACTTTGCTCAAAATCATAACTATAAAAATTAGAGTACTTGTTTATACATACATACTGATGTAGTGCGAAGACGTGTGCTGCTTAAAGAATTATCAGATATTTTTCATCTGAGTAAGGTTAGAGGTGAGCTGCGTGATCTTGGATTGGAAAAGGAAAAATTCCAATTAGCAACACTGTCTGCCATATTCACTATCTAAGCTTCTTTTACTCGTGCATAACCATTAACCAATGTATGAACTGCTCTACGCAATACAGTGAGGAATGCTTTCCTTTGTGTTCTATCTCCATCCAAAACAATTTAGCAAGGACATAAAACATTCTTGTAGTTTTCCATCGTATATAATATTTTGTCTTGCCTCTGACTTAAATTTCATGTAACTTGGTGCTGCTACTTTTTCAAAACTGCCACTCTGCAGTGAACATAGTTACAGTGCAGATTCCATATCATTGGTCCATTTTCTGTCAAAATGGACCAGAATAATATGTTAAGTATCAGATTTTAGTCCATTTTGTGTTAAAAAGTATTACTAAACTATCCTGGAAGTCTCCATGTTGTATTGAGGGGATATCACATATCCCCACTTTATCCAAAAGAAAACCGTATAATTATGTTTCTCCAATAGCCTTGTTCCTGGTTGCTTACTCACTTACATTTAACAATTACCTATTGAAAAAGTAAAGCACTTACAGAAGGAAAGAATGGCAAAGCCCTATTAAGTATGTAAGATGGTTTTACCGAACATATTTAAACATTTTAATATTATATGAAGATTAAGTTCCCGCAGTGCATCCAGCACATTAGAAATCTAGTGGTTTATTATTTCTCTTAAAGCCCTCTTTTCTTTGTTTTGATCTAGTAGAATCTATTCCCATGTTCTTGCAAATTAGGTAGTGAAAAGTAGAATACTTTAGATCATTACAGCGTATCCCTTTTAACTGTGAAGCAATATATAGGAGTGGAAAAAAAAAATAGCATTATGTGCCTATGAGCGTTGAATAATAATAACGGCATAAAATATATTTGACAAATTGCAGTTCACTAGTTTAGTGGAGTTCAGGGTATGAAATGCTTTCATTCAATTGGTGAGAAAGGAAGCGGGAAGTTGGTGGGTTTTTCCATTCGTGCATCATTAAGGTTTCTGTACCATACGTAACGAAAAGGCCAAATTAGGCATGAAATTGACTTGTGAAAATGGGCTATGATTGAAATGAATAGTATTCTAGATAACTTATTACTCTAACAACACACTAACATACATATTTAAAGCACAATGCATCCTGAAAACCTAGGACAGTTCAGTTTGCTCACCATCTCCATTATTCGGAACTTTGTAAATTCTCTACCTCTTAATTGTATAGTTTTCTTCTACGAGCTATTTAGGGCTCTCAAACATGCATTTCTTTTCTTGCCAGGTTTTATTGATTTATTTATTCACACCCTAATAGGAAGCTTTGTAACTTTTCTACCCTTATATTCTTAGAGGTCATGTGTATACAATATTTGATTTCTTCAGTGAATTGTTTTTTTGTGATATGCTGTCACATAGATCAAAGATGTTAGGTTGTTTCTCTCTTGCATTATGTAATTATTTTTAAATTGATTCCTGTGCTTATTTTGTTTGCTTACTTGGTTGTTATTGTTTGAATAGATACCAGAAAACGCCGGAGGCGTTCAGGATCATTGGTGTTGCAAAAGAGAAGAAGAAGAATACTTCCATTTGTTTCATCAGAAGATCCTGCTCAAAGGCTGAAACAAATGGGTTCCCTGGCTTCTGCTTTAACAGCATTGCACATGGAATTCAGTGACAATCTCACTTACATGCCCAGAATGGCTCATAGATCTGCAAATCAGTCCAAGTTTGAGGACGGTGGCATGCAGGTTTTTTATCTCTTATTCTAGTTTCCTCAAGGCTTATTAGTCACCATTTGTAAGGCCAACTGATATATCAACTCCATCATGTGATTTAAGTACTGGCATTCTTACTATTAGATTCTTTCCAAGGAAGATACCGAGACATTGGAGCTTTGCAGAGCCATGTGTAAAAGAGGCGAATGCCCTCCTCTTACAGTAGCTTTTGATTCACGTGAAGGGTAACGTATCTCATAGTACTTTGTGGCGCCCTCTTCTTACAGCACTAATCTTTAATTCATGTGAAGGGAGACAATATCTTGAATGATATTACAGTGCCCTCTTATATAATCTTTTTATTCCTCTGAAGGTCTATTAGTTTTGTTGTGCACTGAACTATAGGGTCAATTACTGCAGTGGTCCCTGAACTTGTCATTGTGTTACATTTTCGTCCCTGAACCTTTTATTTTGTTGTGTATGGTCCTCAAACAGTCAAACTCACTCTCTAGTAGCATTTTCGTTCTTTTTATTAACTCCATCTATTTTCTTTTAACTTCAGGGCAAATTTATTGGTGAAATTGGTTGAAATGATCAATGTACAAATCTGAATTTTTGAAATGAACGGAGCTTAGGATGATTTGGACATGTGCAAAGAAGGCCGACTGACGCTCCGGTTCGAAGATGTGACTACGGGACAGAGGTTCAGGGCCGAAGGGGTAGAGGAAGACCTAGGAAAACTTTGGAAGAGACTCTAAGAAAAGACTTAGAGTACTTGGATCTAACGAAAGACATGACACAGGATCGAGCACAATGGCGTTCTAAGATTCATATAGCCGATCCCACTCAGTGACTTGGATTTTCCAAGTCTCCAATCGAGAAGTTTTCCTCACTCGGGAAATTAAGGGAACACTACCCCAACCTACATGCTCCACTCAGAAAGCTTCAACATACAAGCTTCAACAAAAGAAAATTCAAAGAACTTAGCGAAGAAGGCTTTGGTTTAACACAATACGTTGAAATGAAGGAAAGCTTATTTATTGATATCCCCGATCAGCTACAAATATGTACATATACATGAGTCAAAATAAACACACAAGACGGAGCCTTCACAAAGGTTGCTTAGGAGAAGTCTCAGCAGTCGGTAGAGCCCCAGAAAGAGAAGGCACCGGAGGGGGATCATTTGGAGCCTCAGTACTGGACAGAACCCTAGAAGGAGGAGGCATCAGAGGTTGATCATTCGGAGCTTCATTACGCGGTACAGCCCCAGAAGACGAAGGCAATAAATGCCTTTGGAACAAACCCACAAATCTCTGATGATCAAGTAAAACCTGACCATCAGTTTCCTTCATCTGGTCAAGCTTCCTCTTCATGTTTGTAGCATAGTCATGTGCGAGCCGGTGCAACTGTTTATTCTCATGCTTGAGCCCTCTAATCTCCTGTTTGAGACTCATCACTTCAGCCGCCAAGGATTCAACTTGGCGGGTTCGAGCAAATAGGCGTTGGGCCATATTAGACACAGAACCTGCACACTGAACACTGAGAGCCAGCGAATCCTTAACAGCTAACTCATCAGACCGTTTGGAAAGTAGTCTGTTATCTTTGGGAGTGAGAAGGTTCCTGGCCACCACCGCAGCGGTCATATCATTCTTCATCACGGAATCCCCAACGGTAAGAGGACCAGTAGGGGAGACGAAGGATGGGCGCCATATGTTGTCTGGAGAAGGCGGGGCTGCCTCTTCAACAAGGTTCAAGTCAAAACGACGGTCGGAGGGGCCAGACATTTTCAAAGGTGTTGAAGAGAGAAGAGGTCAGACAAATCAAGATCTTAGAAGTGCAAGAATGAAGCTTCTACTGGTGGAGATTCAAGTGTGCTTTGGAACTTAATGTCAGCCTCTATAAAAATCTGCACCCGACGGAGCTTCAGAAATCGAAGAGGCGCCTGCTCAGAAATCGAAGAGGCGTTTGCTTTCTCAAAAGCTGGGCTGCTTAGAGATCACGAGGGTTGATCTTAGAAATCGAAGAGGCGTTTGCTTTCTCAAAAGTTGGGCTGCTCAAAGACCACGAAGGCCGATCTCAGAAAATCGAAGAGGCGCTCGCTTTCTCAAAAGCTGGGCTCCCCAGAGACCACGAGGGCCGATCTCAGAAATCGAAGAGGCACCTACTTTTCCAGCCTTGTCAGCACCCGTCACACGCACACTCAGCTTTGCAGAAATTATGGGCATTCTGTCGAAGACTTCTGGGGAAGTAGAAAAACACATGAATCTTACTGTTCAATCACCCACTTCCCACACGCAACAATAGCTCAGCTCATGGGTACCACAGATAACTTTGCCAAAGTTCTCTGCCAAAGTTGAGCACGTGAAGCTTGCAGCTCCCACTACATCGCTCTGACCAAGAAGGGTAAAAGAATAGCAAAGAAACAGCACTAACAAAGTTTAGACCCATAAATTTTGAAGGTCTAGCTACCATATTATTACCCACAAGGGTAAAGGAACAGTACCACTGCTGGATAATTGGAAAGTCCCTGTGTGTCAACCTCTGTGCTTCGTGGCAAGGTAGACTAGCAAACATGCCCAACCTTTACTCACATTCGAGAAAACACTCCCAATAAGATTGCTTGCTCCAAAAAGCGAAGAGGCACCGTCCTCCGAATCTCGAGAGCCAGACTCCCAACATGACTACTTTCTTAAAAATCGAAGAGAGGGTAAAGGAACAGTACCATTGCTGGATAATTGGAAAGTCCCTGTGTGTCAACCTCTGTGCTTCGTGGCAAGGTAGACTAGCAAAACATGCCCAACCTTTACTCACATTCGAGAAAACACTCCCAACAAGATTGCTTGCTCCAAAATCGAAGAGGCACCGCCCTCCGAATCTCGAGAGCCAGACTCCCAACGTGATTACTTTCTCAAAAATCGAAGAGACACTGCTCCCCGAATCTTCGAGAGCCAGACCCCCAGCATGATTGCTTTCTCAAAAATCGATGAGGCATCGTTCTCCGAATCAATCGAAGAGGCGCTCGCTTTCTCAAAAGCTGGGCTGCTCAGAGACCACGATGGCCGATCTCAGAAATCGAAGAGGCACCTACTTTTCTAGCCTTGTCAGCACCTGTCACACGCACACTCAGCTTTGCAAAAATTATGGGCATTCTGTCGAAGACTTCTGGTGAAGTAGAAAGCACATGAATCTTACTGTTCAATCACCCACTTCCCACACGCAACAATAGCTCATGGGTACCACAGATAACTTTGCCAAAGTTCTCTGCCAAAGTTGAGCACGTGAAGCTTGCAGCTCCCACTACATCGCTCTGACCAAGAAAGGTAAAAGAATAGCAAAGAAACAGCACTAACAAAGTTTAGACACATAAATTTTGAAGGTCTAGCTACCATATTATTACCCACAAGGGTAAAGGAACAGTACCACTGCTGGATAATTGGAAAGTCCCTGTGTGTGTCAACCTCTGTGCTTCGTGGCAAGGTAGACTAGCAAACATGCCCAACCTTTACTCACATTCGAGAAAACACTCCCAACAAGATTGCTTGCTCCAAAATCGAAGAGGCACCGTCCTCCGAATCTCGAGAGCCAGACTCCCAACATGACTACTTTCTCAAAATCGAAGAGAGGGTAAAGGAACAGTACCATTGCTGGATAATTGGAAAGTCCCTGTGTGTCAACCTTTGTGCTTCGTGGCAAGGTAGACTAGCAAACATGCCCCAACCTTTACGCCAGACTCCCAAAATGATTACTTCCTCAAAAATCGAAGAGACACTGCTCTCCGAATCTCGAGAGCCAGACCCCCCAGCATGATTGCTTTCTCAAAAATCGAAGAGGCATCGTTCTCCGAATCTCGAGAGCCAGATACCACAGACCACTTTTTCAAAGTGCTCTGACAGAGTTAAAACATGTGAAACTGGCAGCTCCCACTACCGTGCTATGACCAAGCAGGGTAAAGGAATAGCATTACTACTTGTTGTTAGGGAGACTCCTATATATGTCGACCTCCATCCCCAACGGACAGGCAGACCTGCAAAAATGCTCAACCCTTCATCATATCTGAGAGGGCACTCCCAACGAAGCCTTTCGAAATATTCAGCTTTCTTTCCCCCCGATAATACCTCTGCAAACAAGCTATACTAGAGCAAGAATATCTCATATCATCAGGGTTAAAAGCAAGAGTATCCCATATCATGCTTTTTCCCTGTCTTTTCCTTTGGCCTTGTTTTTACCTGCAAGACAAGGAGAAAGAGAGCAATCAGTCAGCACTTGGAATCAAGCTTCCAGCCAGGAACTGACTGCCTGGAACCCCTTACCTGATTACTTACCTGGCATTGCTCTTGAGTACTCATCTTCAACATCTTATGTTTCCAGGGAAGATTCCGCATCTGCTTGAGGAACAGATAGGGCAAGTGCGAAGGATACAAGGAAGCATGTGGAGACAAGCGTAACAGCACACGTGCCGATACACCCATTACTCTGTCAAAAGCAAAAGTATCCCATATCAGCAGGGTGGAACGTACTCTAGATTTGATGGACTTGTTTTGACCCTCAAATTCTTCAGTCGGCCTTATACTCTGGAGGAAACCAGAAAACCCTCCAGCTCAGTTCAAGAATAAGCCTGTGGAAAGTTACTTCTTCAAAAGCAAAAGTATCTCATATCATCTCTTCTCATTTTTCTTCTCTTTATCCTTCATGCTGCTGCAAGATGGGGAGAAGGTGAACAATCAGTCGGAGCTCTGATGGCTTACCTTGTCTGTCACCTCTTTCAGCAGACCCCCTAGCTCGGCGACTTGGGGGACTCCTACTACATGGTTTGTATCGCGCTTGACCAAGCCTGAGACTACAAGTAAGCTTCAAGTGAAATTGATACATTACCTTGTGCATCTCCACCAGTTAAAGATACCACCCCTGGATGGAGGAAGAGTACTTCCAGAGAAGATGCCACATCTACCTATGAGACAGATAAGGCAAGTCAAGACGACACCACACTCCGATACTTAGAAGTTTCGTGATTACGAGATCATTCTCCCACAATATTTCCTAATGTCATTTGTACTAAATCATTCACTTGTACTCACTAAAGGAGAGCTTGAACCTATGTACTTGTGTAAACCCTTCACAATTAATGAGAACTCTTCTATTCCGTGGACGTAGCCAATCTGGGTGAACCACGTACATCTTGTGTTTGCTTTCCTATCTCTATCCATTTATATACTTATCCACACTAATGACCGGAGCAATCTAGCGAAGATCACAAAAAGCGACCGTTTTCGCTACCTAGGATCTATCTTGCAAGAGAACGGAGAATTAGAAGGAGATCTCAACCATAGAATACGAGCTGGATGGATGAAGTGTAAGAGTGCATCCGGCGTGTTGTGTGACCGTCGTAGGCCACTGAAGCTCAAGGGAAAATTTTATAGGACGGCAATAAGGCCAGCGATGTTGTATGGCACAGAATGTTAGGCGGTGAAGCATCAACACGTACACAAAATGGGTGTAGCGGAGATGAGGATGCTTCGTGGGATGTGTGGGCACACGAGAAAGGATAAGATTGGGAATGAGGATATCCGAGGTAAAGTAGGAGTAGCCGAAATTGTAGGAAAGATGAGAGAAAATCGGCTCCGATGATTTGGACATGTGCAAAGAAGGCCGACTGACGCTCCGGTTCGAAGATGTGACTACGGGACAGAGGTTCAGGGCCAAAGGGGTAGAGGAAGACCTAGGAAAACTTTGGAAGAGACTCTAAGAAAAGACTTAGAGTACTTGGATCTAACGGAGGACATGACACAAAACCGAGCGCAATGGCGTTCTAGGATTCATATAGCCGACCCCACTTAGTGGGAAAAGGCTTTGTTGTTGTTGTTGTTGTTCTGTTTTATTAAATTTTTTGGATGCAAAAAGTCCTATTTCCTCCTAAATATTACAGAAAAATGGACGGATCTAAGGGAAACGATCAAAATGCCACACAAGATTCAGAAATGAATATCAAACACGGAAAAGTTCAGAGACCTTTACTGTTACTAACCCCTGATTTATATGGTACCTGCATATTGAGTTAGGCTTGTGTTGAATTCATTCATTTATTTTTATGTAGTTTTACGGTAGAGGCTGATGAGCAGATCAAGGATATGACTTTTATTGCTGAATACACGGGTGATGTTGATTACATAAAGCATCGGGAAAATGACGATTGTGACAGTATGATGACCCTTCTGTTAGCAACTGAACCATCTAAAAGTCTAGTCATCTGCCCTGATAAACGTGGAAACATCGCTCGATTTATCAACGGCATCAACAATCATACCCTGTAAGCCTAATATCTTTTTTTTCTTTCTAGTTCAACACTACTTGTTTGTGGCCTCCAATGAACTTCATATGATAAAACTGTATATTTCTGTGTTGGGAATTCGGATCTATTGGATTGGGATTGTCTGCATCCGTTGTGGTTAAAATGTAACAAATTTGGTGCAGGGAAGGTAAAAAGAAGCAGAATTGTAAATGTGTAAGATACAGTGTTAACGGTGAATGTCGGGTCTTTTTGGTTGCTACTCGTGATATTGCTAAAGGCGAGAGGCTATATTATGACTATAACGGATACGAGCAAGAATACCCTACTCAACATTTTCTCTGAGCTATCGTCTATAGACGTTAACGGCTTACCGTCTAGCAATCCTAATTGGGATTTTATTTGCTCCTAATGTTCTTCTTCTTTCCCAATTTCAAGCTTTACTTCTTGTTGCAAGGTCAATAATTTTCTTCTAGTTATTCCATTGAGCCATTCATTGTATTTCCCTATAGAGCTGGCCTATTATTGGGCCCTTGGGTATAGAATTATAGAGTAGGCCAAGGAAAACTTTTCTTGCTAGTTAAGCAAACGAAAAGAGTTTTATCTTTTCGGATTATAACTTAAGGGAATTATTATTAGCACTACAAAAACTGCACTTCTCTCAAATTTTTCCGCTACGGAGAAGTGCATGATCGAATTTTTAAGGATTGCAAGTAACAGCTCCCTAACTTATTAAACATCTTTCTTTGTAATACAGGTTTTAATGGTAGATTTTAGTTTTGAGTTAATCCTTGTTATTTCATGGCACCATTGTTATAATTTTTAGTTTTTACCTTGGTTCGAAGGCTCCGTTTGGTATTGCTTTTTGTCGCCAAAAGCTGCTTCACTTTAAAGTTAAACAATAAAAAGTGTTTGGTAAAACTAAAATATCATGTTTATTTTAAAAGTAATGACCTCCAGACATTAACTTTTGAAAGCAGTTGTAGATTGCTTTTAAAAGCTGATTTCATAAAAATCGGAGTTTGAGAATCTCATGAATTTCATGACTGCCACAACCTAACACCACCATCCCCATTACTGCCACCATCATTGCACCACTAACACACTGAAGGACGGAAGCTTGTTCATAGGCACTCAAAAACCTATCTTTAGCCACTTAGTACTACGGTTTAGTGGTATTCTTCTTCACTTGTAAGTGAGAGGTATTAGGTTTGATTCACGCCAAAGGCGAATTTGAATCACATCATTGCTAACCCATTGTGAGGCTAAGTCCACACCCTTTCCCCTGGTGTAAATAATAACGTTTGTTCAAAAAAAAAAAAAACCTATCTTTAACCATGAAATTCAAAGCCTAGTAGGTAGTGAACTACTCAACTCAAATCAAAAGAAAAGAGATGAGATTTGTTATATCTTTGTAGATTCCTCTTGGCATAGGCAAAGGCTAATCCCCAAGAGAGGGTCTTCATTCCTTTGCTCCTTTACTCATTGGATTTGTGTTGGAATATGAATCTCCATGAGCCAACAAAGTAGGTGGCCTTTTAAGTCTCTTCACTAAGCTTGACTTGGGAGAAGATGAGTGCTAGAAACCACTCACCATGGTGGCAAAGTTTTAAGAGAGAAGAAGGTGAATAGTTGACATACCTTGATCTCGAAGTCCAGTGGACATAAAATTGAGGCGTGTTGGCTATCACCAAGATGGATGACGAAACCATGATATGCATGAAATCATAACTGAAATTACTAAATATTAAAATCTACTAAAAATTTGGTAGAACTTTCCCTAAAATAGGGATGAGCCCAAATCAAATCACCTACAAGTAATCACATTTATTTCACACATCCCTTAATGGGTCTCTGAGCCTCGATCACATGCATGAGAATGGGTTCAGAGCATAATTACCAAAATACAAGTTCTATGAATATGTTGAGTAAGTACAATACTTAGTGGAATATGTCAAAGCAGAAAGTACCTCGACATCAGATGTGATCACTGCTACGACTACTGGATCCTGAAGTGGCGCAAAACATAAAAATTTGAGTGGATGAAAAATAAAGGTTTCTAAAACAATTTTATTTTTTGAAATAGTAACCCCCTGTTTTGAAAGCACATCTAATACTATATATAATTTCTAAAAAGCCAAGAATGCCATAAAAACTTAAATCTGATTTATATACCTGTATGCATTGAGAGCTGATAATTATATATATATATATATATATATATATATATATATATGACACAACATACAATATCATCCACTAGCTGTAGCTAATCATGTCATTGCCAAGTAATCTCTAGGCAATGATAAGCTGAGAATATAACTATAATCATGTCATTACCGAGTAATCTCGAGGTAATGATAAGTTGAGAGTATAATTGTGGTACCCCAATACACATGTAAGCTGATATGTAATCATCCACTAGTCGTAGCCAGTGGAAGCTGTAATCATGTCATTGCTGAGTAATCTCTAGGCAATGACAAGTTGGAAAGACATGTCCATAATGTGGACAAGCAAAATAGTCATACACATGCAAGCTATGTCTTACAGCTGTGGACGTGGTACAATACTCTAAATCTGTATGGGTGTATGCATGCCACAAGATAAGTAATAAAGAATCCAACGTTCATTAAATCTTAAACTATATATCATGAATCATACACCTGGTAGTAAAGTCTCGAAATTTGTCAAACTCGCAAATCATAAGTCATGACTCTGAAAATATATCATGAAATCGGTGAAACCGTAAAATATAACTGAAATTCATTTTTACCCAGGCATGCTTATAATTGAGATAAATAAGATATTTTTGAAATAAAAGTCCACTCACTGATCATCAAGGAAGCCTTCCTCAAGTTTGGTCTGTCCTCTAGGGCCTTTATAATTGATGGCATCTAAGCATATAAATGACATATTCGTAAAACGCATCTAAAATGATTGAATTTGAAAAAAAAAAAAGGGAGTGCGAATTTGGAATCAGCGCGTTGAATTACCCTAGGATGGGTCTTGGGCCAAAACTAAAAAAAAGTCAACAGTCAACGTTGACCAGTTAAGGTCAGTGGTCAACCCTGACCTGGCCCGCCAGAAACCTCATCGGTTTCTGGAAAAATACACTGGGAAATTCAGAGAATTTTTTTCGGCTTCGATCTCACTTGATTCTCAACCGAATTATGTGATCCATATATCAAAATTCATCTGCTCGATGAGACGAATACAAATAAAGTGGTTTTAGGCCTTACCTCCACTAGAAACAATGGGAAACTCGCCGAAAAAAACTCCTTACAAAGAAGCTCCAAAAACTGCGCCTAAACTTCGAATTTCAGAAAACGAAGACCATGATTGAACTTGTGGTGACGAGAGGAAGATGATGGTGATTTTAGAAACACAATCCAATGAGGACTTTGCGGTTGTGGTTTTGTGTGTCATCGGGGAGGAGAAACCAAGAAAGAGACAGAGCTTTCCAGAAGTTGAGAAGGAGATAGAAGGAAAGGAAAATATCTCCTTCTCGGTGGGTCCCACTGCACCCATACAGTCAATTAGAACTCTCCATAAATGGAGAGAAATGTACAAAAATGCCCTTGCATTTAACGATCAGTAAAATCTTTGTTTAAGTCCAAATCTCGTTCCTCTTGTATCCATGCGTTCGTAGCGATGAGTATTGTTCAAATATACTAACTAATATGTCATAAGTGTCGCAACAAATAAAGTCAATGCAAGTTCCTTGTAGGGGCATCTGGTAATTTTACATTAGTGAGAATGCTCCGCCTAATACAAATGTCTGTTCCCACTCTTGGTGCCTGCTGGTGGAGAAAGACATGAGAAAGCTTAAGAGCGCTGGTTGGATTTTGTGGACAGAGGGCACATATCGATCGATTAAACCCATCATTGTAGAGTTTACCGAGGAAGTATGAAATTAAAGTCATTCACCTGTGCCGATTTCCTTATGGTTGACTTAACAATTAGGATACTAGTTTCACACCGTACTTATAATCCATCTTTCATTATATGTAGGACTAAATTACTGAAAAATTAGGGACGGGTTGTAACAATCTACCTAACTTAAGAAAATTTCGTCCACAAATTTTCTACAAGAAGTTACTGAAACATATACAATACTGAGCTTGCATAAGTGCTTCAGTCTCCCAAATTGCTTCATCATCATGATGATTCCTCCAAAGAATCTTCACTAAATGTAGGACTTTATTTCTCAAAACTTTATCCTTCCTATCAAGGATAGCCACTGGTTCTTCTTCATAGCTCAAGTATTGTCTCAACTTTAATGGTTGCGGTTGTAGAACATGAGACATGTCTATTACATACTTTCAAAGCATGGAAATATGGAACATATCATGTATCTGTGACAACTCTGGTGGCAATTCCAGCCTATAAGCAACTGTGCCAATTCTCTTAGATTCTGTGGGGACTGTTATATTGGTGACTCCACTTTCCCCACTTCCCAAAACGGACTAAACCTTTCCAAGACGACAACCTCAAAAATACAAAGTCAGCAACTTCATATTTACGATCTCTAGAATGTCTGTCTGTGATGATTTTCTGTTGATTCTTTGCGGCTTTCAAATTTCTGTTTATCACTTGGATGTTCTCATCAGTGGTATCAACAATTGCTAGCTCCTCCAATACTCGTTGACCAACCTCTGTCTAACATAGTGAGCATCCTGTATGTTTTTCCATACAATGTTGCATATGGTGTCATACCAATGCTTTAGTGATAACTATAATTGTAGGCAAACTCCATTAAAGATGAATAATCGTCCCAACTACGCTTGAACTGGAGAACATAAGCTCTCACATGTCCTAAAAAATATGGATCGTCCTCTTTGACTGACCATCTATCCTGGATGATAAGCAGTTCTATACAATAACTGAGTACCCATAACATCATGGAATGCTTTCCAAAATCTAGAATTGAATGTCGAATCTTTGTTTGAAACAATGGTAGTAGGTACACCATCAAGTTTGACAATGTTATTTATAAATATCTTTACTAACTTCTTCAATTTATAATTCTGTCTAACTGGTAAAAAGTAGGCATTCTAATAAAACAGTTTATTGCCCATCATCAAGATTACATTTTTCCTAACTCTTAAATCATTTCTTGCTTCATGATATGATATAAACTAGCACTCAAACTTAAACCCTCTTTTTGACAATTGTAGTATGGATAAGTAGGGATCGTTCTAGGCCGGGGATTAGGAGGGACTGCTAATCGACTCAAATTAGACTCAATTACACGTAACTAGACTCTTAAGACTCAAGACTGACTCAAACTACTCAAAACTACACAAAACAAACAATTGACTCAAAACTAACACTAAGGGTGACTTTGGACGAAATTTGAACTAAAAAGACTCAAAACAATAAAAAGAAACCAGTTTGGACATATTCTAACTAAAAGACACGAAATATAAAGGGGGGAGTGGTTTTTGACAAATTTAAAGTAAAAGCAAACAGATTTAAAGACTCTAAACAACTTTGGACAAAATTGGGGTGTTTTAATGGGTGAATGGCTAGCTAGAGTGTTCATCTCCACACATGACACATATGCATACGAATCGATTTCCAGTTATTATTCCTATCGACCATGAATGAAAATACCCCAGATTAACCGTGAATAACACTAATTAACCCTCAGATTTTCCTAAGTTCATTGAATTGGACTCAGCATCGCAACCAAATTATTCTTATCAAGTTCCCTACATGAACAACATGATAGAGATACATATCAAAGATCATTATGTTCTTGTGAAAATCATAAGCATTGACAAGA